TTTTTTTTTTATCTCTCGTCGAACGCGTGATCAGACGACGCGACATTTCGGACCACGAATATTTTTTTTTGTTTTTATTGAAATAAAAAATCGAGAAACATTGAGAGGGAAAAGGAGGGAGGAACATCGATTAGGGACACAAAAAACAACCGACACCCCCTCAGAGAGAAGAATCTCGCACCCTCGTGCGCAGACCGTTTGCTCTTTGAAAGGAAGCGTTAACGCCCGACTCTGCTGCTTCGGTTCATTGTAAAACATCCCTTCTCTCGCCTAGCCGGAACAGTTATCCTGCGACCTGGAACTGCGGGGGTGGGGTGGATCCGTGTTTTTTGTGGCCCGATCGCACGCGATCTACGCATCATCGTCTCCTGCGAAGCGCTCGGGTTCCGCGAAATATTTGTGCCTGTTGATGTTGACCAGAGCTCGTATCGATCCTCCTCGCGCTTTCCACTTCGTGGAAAATTAATGTTCGATCGAACGAAGTAAATATTAGAAATTGGAACAATGGTGGGAAATTCAAACGCACGGTCGTTTTATTTCTCAAGTTATACCGCAAGTGTCCACATTACGACGTTGACAGACAGCACGGTAAAATTTCGAGAGGGACTTCATTTCATTTCTTCGAGTAACGTAATGAATATTTTTATATTCGTGATACTTTTCATTTCCCCTACAGCGTAATATAAATTTTCAGTAATTATTTATACATGTAATAGAGTACGTGAAAACAAAACGATGAAGGAAATAAGGAATATATAAATTGAAATTGCACATTTATAGTTTGAATTACGTAAATTCGTTCCTCGGACAGACTCGTTCCGTGTCTTCCAAAAAATGAAAATTACTCAATTCCTGCGAGAGCAGGAGCGTGTAATCAATATGACAGACGTGTCCGTGTAGTCGCGTCCCGTTCTACTTATCCGGCTCTACTATGGCCACCGCACAAGAAAAAGCGCGGGGATCTCGATCTCGACTTTTTGCGCGGCGAAATAAATTATCGCTTAATCTACAACGACATTTGCGACGATTCGAGCGGCGCACGTTCACGAATTGGAAGGATTATGACGTTGTTCGGGCAGGTCCACGCGAGGGAGAGGGAGAGCACGTCTTACGAGCGTTTAATGTGATTTTAATCGAGGAGTTTGAATTTCAAATGCTATCGACTCCGCCGGGTATAAAGCAGCTCCCCGGGGAGGTGGACGCCGGATAAAATTTCAGCGAGCGAGGAACGCGGGTCTATTACGACCCTCGCTGATCTCCCAGTAGTGTAGAACTCGATCTTTTTTTTTTTTTTTTTTTTTTTCGGGGTCCATTCTGTGTTCGCGCGATTACGCATGAACGCGGGTTGACGTACGATTTGCAAACTGACGCAGTCCCGAAGGTGGCCGTAGCGACTACGCCAATGACTGGCGTAGAAACAGACGCGTCGGGATCGTATTAGGTCCTAATTTTCCATAATGGGAGAGAATCGAGGCGCCACTGTGGCGAAGCGACCGTCTAATCAGCGGTCCCATTCATAAGTGCTGCTTCGTCGTCGCTCGTCGCTCTCGGGACAAGGAAGACATTTTCTAACCAAGTCGTGTTCGTGACTTCCGCGATCAATTTATACGTGGGGGAGAGTCCGTCGATTCTTCAACCCTTAAACTCGGTGAGAACTATCGACGACTAACGTGTACAATTCGTATCGTGGCAGCAACGACAGTTCGCGAATAATCAGCTTTTATTCGTTCGTTTCAAGAAAAATGATTGAAAGTACGCAACGATGAATCTCACAACTACAAATTACACATTCTGAGCAATTCTGGTGATTATCTGGTGGTTAAAATATTTTCGCGAATATTTGCATCGCAATTTGTACAATTTGTATTAAACTCTCGTTCGAAGGTTTAATATTTCTGTCAAGTAAAATCTCTCAAGTAACATCTCTGTTGAATAGGTATACGAAATGATGTGATATGACAATTAACGTAACAGAGAAATTAATTTATT